CTTGATCTCTCTCACCCCCTTTCTTCCACCACTCCGGCCATTCCATAGGCTGATACTTTTTTCACTCATCTCCAAACCATTCACACCACCATCTCTTATCATCTCCAGTCCGTCATTGAGTCCCATAAGTGCTTTGCCAATCATCATTGCCAACCAGCTCCCCCATATGTTGCTGGTGACCATAAGCTTCTTCACCACAACATCTCTACAGATTGACCTTTTGGCAAGCTAGACTTCAAGTGCCTCAGCCCATTTTCCATCTCCGATGTACTCAATCTTATTTCTTTTTGTCTTGCTTTGCTTGCTTCCTAGCATTTACACCTTGTTTTTCACTCCTCTCTTCTCGAACCTTACATTTCCAACACCATTCCCAACTACACTTCTCCACCACTTCCTCCTGTTGTCCTCCATAATGAGCTTGAGTTCAAAGTTGCTTCCATTCTTGACTCCAAAATCTCCCGCAACTGGCTCTTTTATCTTGTTGATTGGCTTAGTTATAATTCTGAGGACCGTTCCTAGAAGCCAACTGAGCATCTAGCTCATTCCCCTCTTAAACTCCATGATTTTCACACTTGTTATCCTCATAAGCTTGGTCCTCATTCCTTTGCTTCTACTTCCTCTCCCTCAGTTAATCCTTGCACTCGCTCCACTTGTCCTTGAGGGGGGGTATTATCAAAAAGCCCCCTTCTTGTCACTAGATTCCTTGGCATTACCAATTTCCTAAGTCATTATTCTAACCATTATTTTAGCCATTACCTAATGGCTTCCTTTGAGATTGATTCATATTCTTTGGGTGGTCCATGTGGTTCGGGCAACATGAATCATTAATTTAAAGCTCAAAACCAATGGTCTTCATTCTTTCATTTGCATTATAAAGGCTTAATAATTGCTGTAAAAATTTATCCACAATCAACACCAATCTTGGGGCTAGTTTTCCTTTGACTTTTTCTCATTTTTTCTTGTCAATTTCCCTTTGTTTTTCTTGATTTTGCAGTTGGTTCTTGACAATGACCATATAAGTAAGAGATTCATATCGTTCAACCTTTTTAATATATAACTCAATACAAAAATTAATAAGAAAATCCATACTTTCAGGAGAATAGAAAAAACTTTTCAACAGCAATGGTAAGGTCAAAACTCTCATTGGCACTTATATCAGGAAAAATGGACTTAACCCAAAATTGACAAAAGTGATTAAACTTTTGGAATAGAGGAATACTCAATACTAGAAACAATCAAAGATTCCACCCACAAAAAAAAAAAAAAGATTTTTTGTTCCATGCACATACTCAATATCCATATCTCAATTTAATATTAAACTAAGAATGAGAATTATAAGAATCACAAATGATCAAGTGCGAGAAGAAGGAAATGTTACAAATGAAGAAGCAACAAAAAAAAAACATGAGGAGGTAACTCAAGTCAGGACATAAGAAAATATTAGGAAAGAACATAATGTAATGAAAAAGGATTAGATGATAGATTGAAGGATTGACACTTATTTTGTGAAATCTCTAACTTGTCCTTAAAATTATCTTTAAGGTAATCAAATTCCTCATCAATATCAAAAACTTAGTCAAGCTTATACATATTGTTTTCCCATGAACATGATCTTTAAACATTCTCCAAAAACCATATTATTTCATCTATACTTCAATCAATATCATGATCACACATTATATCAATAGAAGATGGTAGGACACCAAGAACAAAAGAAGCCATATAATCACATCCCATGAAAGTTGGAGATGGCAATACATTAGGAATTAAAATATGTAACAAATATGGTTTTTACTTTTTACCTTATGATAATTTATCATAAGATAACCATAGAGTAGAACCTTAACTATTAGACATATGGGCTAAAAGCAATGGAGTAGTTTCAAGGCTTTGGACCATTAAACAAAGGGACAAATCCAAATTCTCCAGCATATAACTAATGAACAAAAGAATCAAAGCACAGAGAAACTCTTGAAAAAGGAGAAAAAGGACAAGAGCAATGTGATATTAGAATAGTTCTAAAACATGTAACATCCCAATGCTAAGAAGCATGTAAAATAGAGCTAAACAAAGCCAAACAAAGTTTAACACTATTTTAGTATATTGATAGCCTAACGTGAGTAAATGAGCACTCTATTAACTAGCATGGTATAGAGTTTAGTCTTAAACACAAGCTTAATACAAAATAAAGATAGACATGACTAATAAGGAGCTATTCAATGTCTTAAATTAGTTAATCAAGCCCAACCTACCTATTATTCCTATTAAAAAATTAAAATCCCAACCCCCCCCCCCCCCCCCCCCCCTCCCCTTCTTGTTTGAATGCATACTTTGGGCTTTCACCCTAGTGTAAAGTTTGGAAAATTGAAAATTCGTAAAAATTTATTATATATGGAATTATGTTAAATTGTGAATCTATACACAAGAACAACACTATCAAGTTAAGGACAATTTCTACATTCCATAAATATATTTAACTAAATGACTGTTTAAGATTTCTTTTCTTAATGCCCTCATGTGTTGACCAATTTCTCAACTAACTTAAGCAAAAACTAATACAGGATCTTGTAATAACAATCTCCTAATATCATGGCAATATGAGGAGAATATCCAAAAGGATTCGTTAATAAATAACTTTCAATACCCATAATTATAGTCACCACCACACCAACACTAAAAGTTTGATTTGAAGAGAACACAACAATAATGATATATTATCTATAGCCTTGGATGAGACACTTCTTGATTGATGACGACATGGCATGGTGGAAGAAGAGAATGCAACAGAGATTGAAAAAGGAAGAACATATTTGATACCTACAATTCTAGATATAGAGAAATCCAAACTCAAATTTAGATATGAAAGAGAATGAAAGAATAAGAACAAAAACAAGATCCCAAACACTAAGCAAATCTTATATCTTTTTCCTCTTCACCTAGATTCATAACGTCAGGGCTAACCAATAGTGAATGCCATGGATTCCCTTCTTAGGGAATATTGCTTTCAAATGCTTTCACCACTTGATAGATCACTAAAGGGTGAAGACCCTATAGGTCAACCTCCAATGTTCAAAAAACCATCTAGTGGTATGTTGTAAGTTAATATTTCTTGGGCATGGTATTTGGATGTAGTAAAGAATCCCTGTCCTCATCCAGGATTTGTAAGAAAGATTCTGAATTGTGAACTCCTCTCGTGTTGCTAGTCCACTGGCTTTGGGCCAACTTCCACTCTAAGGCCATGTATCAGTAGTGCCACCTTGAGATTTTGCTATTGTAGCTCTTCCCAACATGCTCTTCTAAGTTTGCCTCTCATACCTTCAAGAACCATCCTCTTACCTTAGGAAAGAATTCCCACTTGCTATGTAACACCTTCAAAATCCAAAACAGAATCTTAACTATCAAAATTAACACAATTTGTTGGACTGCCAGTTTTCTAATTCACATGGCATAACAAAATTGATCCACATGTCCAACTTCGCTCCTCTCTTCTTCTTTCTCTTGCTTTGGCTGCTCTTGAGCTCATATCTTCTATGTTGCTACGGTGGATTTTTGCCACCTCCATACTTCGTCAGAGGAGCATTTAATCTCATGATTCTCCCATAAATTTGAAAAGTTCCTAGAATCTGCCACATGGCTGAGTTTTGCCCACCTCAACTACCACGTCAATCTGTTTCTTATAGGCTTAATCACTCTTTGAGAAACACAATTGACAACAGGTACCACATGGCATTGCCCCAAGTGCCACAGATTTAGCCACACGGTGATTCAATGTACAGGGTTTATAGTCTTTTCCACCAATGAGGTACCTGCTAAGGCAAATGAGGAATAGTTGGACACAGAGGGATTCTTTGATTATTGCTAGAGAATGTTGTACAACACATCTCCATTGGGCTCCTGCATGGATGAATCTTGATTTTTCCACCGCTAGCAGCCCTCCAAAGAGAAAGGAAAAAAGCACACACCAAGTCACACTACTCAATCTACACCAACGACAGCTTTTGGTGACATAATTGATGAAATGTGGCTTTTTTCCTTATGATAATTATATCATTAGGAACTTAATTTCTTATTTTATTATGAGTGCCAGGATTTCTCTTCTTCTCATAATATTTTCCCAATTAGCAAATTTGACCATTCAAGATGATGTAAATTGGGATGCTATTTCACTTTACAATTTCATTACTAAAAATGATATTAATAAAATTGGAAAATTCTTAGTAGAGCTCATGGACACAAAAATAGAAGAAACACATAAATACTATAGTGCATTTACTTGGACTGATTATCTTTACTTATCAGATAAAGTTATTGAAGTTACCATCTGGATTTATAGTAAAAGGCCTAGTGGCATGTGTAATTTAGCTCGAATAGGAACAGGAGGAGGAGCATCAGGGGAAGAAATTATTGGAAAACTTAATGAGCTTTTATTTGATGTGTTAAGAGAAGCTCGAGTAGGAAACTATGGTTTTATGATTGCTACTTTAAATTATGTGGGCATCAAATATAAACTACTAAATGCTAGAAAATATGGATCTAAGAATACTAACAATTTTATCATGGTGAAAACTAAAAATTCTATAAATACAGCTGTTAATAACTGTTGGATTTACAGATCTTCACTTGTGAGTGGTGAAAAACATGATTTTGGATCTTATCTACTGAATTCTAATACTTTAATTTCTCCAAATGGAGAATATGAATTAAATCTAAAGCAAAATTGTAATCTAGTTATAACTTGGAAAAGAGTACATGTTTTATGGGAAAATGGGACTTCTAACAAAGGTATTGACTGTTGGTTGCTTTTAGAGACTGGAAAATTAACTATAAAGGATTTTCGAGATATAGAAATATGGTTTATAAATTTTAATTGTCCAACATGTAAATCAACAACACTTTCTGTGGACGATGATGGATTTGTATACATAATTAGTTCAAACGACAATAAAATATTAAGGCGTTTTCCTTGAGAATTTGGGGCAAATGTGGCAATTTTAGGGTTCCTCCTCCTTTCTCTTTCCAAGCATTGCGTCCCTTGAGCGGAGGAGAGGCTGATCCGTCACAATCGCGCTCCGGGAAACACGATCGACAACGGGCGCCACGTGGCGCCCTCGTTGCCCCAGGTATGGCGCCACAGATTTAGCCGCGCAGTGATTCTAGGGGCACCACTCTCCCGCAAGGTACAGGGTTTATGGTCTTCCCACCGATGAGGCACTCGCCAAGGTGAAATGAGGGAGAATGCTATGGACGAGGAGCGGAAATAGTTGGACAGAGGGATTCTTCGATTTTTGCTAGAGGGTCATGGAAGAAATACAAATGTTCTACAACACATCTCCGTCGGGCTCCGACACGGACGATTCTCGATTTTCCACCGCCAGCAGCCCTCCAAAGAGAAAGCAAAAAGTACGCACCAAGTCGCGCTACTCGATCTACAACCTTAACCCGTTGCCGCCACCTCCATCGGAGCTGGACCAAATTCCAGATGCTCGTAAGTCTCGGAAAAGAGCTCCTTTGATCTTTGTTCTTCTTCATTTCGTTTCGCTCATACTTCTTTTCTTTCCAAAAGAGCTGCTTGTTCTTAGCATTGTCTTCTTCTCGCTTATGCCTTTTTTTTTTTCGGTGTTCTTACCATTGTTTTCTTCTTGCAGTGATACCACCCAGTCATGCTGGACGAAAACGCACATTCCCACATGTCGAAGGGAATTTTCCATCCTACGTAAACATTCCTGGTAAGCTGCGTGATCTGTTCTTATATCCATATCTAAGTTGTGGTGTTCTTGATTTCTAGTTCCTGTCACGCTTGGAGCACGGAATGTCTTGGAGTCACTACTTGGTAAAGCATCAAGTATGATGCCCCAGTTGCGTGGGATGGACGACGACATTGTCGTGAGTTTCAAGCGCAGAGACACAACTTCTCGCTCAAACGCCGACTCCGGCATACAGCTCGCCAAAGAGTTCCACATCAGTCTCTCGAGAACAGTCCCGATTAGAGTCCACCAGATTGACACGCTCATCCCCCTGCTGAGACACAAGTTTGAAAGCCAGAAACGGTGAGTTAGCTTTGTTTTCTCGCGGTTTCTCCTCGCTGACATTGCACGTTTAGCTAGGTTCTGGATCGAGTTTGGGAGATGGGAGGTTTACTTGAACGATGATCGATCGAGAACGTTTCTCGGATTGGAAGTTGTGTCTGGAGGATTATCCGACGTAAGGTGTCCTCGTTTGGTTTCGTTTCTCTTGACAGTTTCATTTGCTTTGTGGTTGTAGATTCGCAGGCAAATAGCGCTGGTTACTGAGGCTTACAAGCTCCACGGCCTCCCACCATTCTACGATGTAAGCCTTTGCGTTTCCTTCTTCGTTTGGTTTTGAGGATTTCTTCTCCGTTTTTCTTTCCTTTGGCAGACTCCTCGGCCTCACATATCACTAGCGTGGGCATTAGGCGACGTGTCCAGTGACGCTCAGCGCGTTGCCGACGAGCTAAACGAGCTCTGTGGCAACAGCATGGACTATGGCACCGGCATCGTCAACGTTTTGTGGTCCTTCCTGTTTGGGAGGGTGGATTGCAAAGTCGGGCAGCAGCTGTATCCGATTTGGGTCGCATCAACAGCCTCGCACACATGAGCCCAAGCAAGAAAAAAAAAACAGGAAAAAAATCCATCCAGGATTCACGAAGAACAATCGAAGAACACGAAGAACACACAACGAAGAACACAAACGTTGGTGTGAGAGAAGAGAAAAGAGAGAAGAGCGGGCTTGGTGGGAATCGAACCGGCGACACGTTTTCATCTTTTCTTTTTATCCAGGCAGGCGATGAATAGATAAATCCTCCCAATTTTTTTTGACTCCAGAAAAAAAAAAGTTAATTTTTTTCTTCTTTCTTTCTTTCTATCTTGTTCCACATTTGGTGGTGTGTTCTTTCCTCCTTTTTGTTGCTGCTAGGTATCGGCGTGGCGAAGAGGAGCAAGAATGTGGCGGCGGCGGCGCTGGGTGGCGGCGGTGCCGGTGCGATCGAGCGGCGAGGAGCTGGCGGTGCGGGACTCTCCCATCGCCATCGCTATCTAGGTAAGAAGGAAAGCAATCTCTCTTGGAATTGGAGCATGGGATTGGCTTGGTCAAGCGCGCATTCTTCTCTCTCCCGGGGAATTAGGGCTCGTGAGAGACCGTAGAGGGAGATCTTCCAGAAATCCCAGCTCCTTTTCCTTCTTTGCGCTGATTTCTCTCGGAATTTCGTGTCAGGGGAGCGTCGATTGTCCATCCCTCCATCCAGCGATCCGCGGAGGGAGGAGGAGAACGATTGTAGCGCAGCGCCATGGCGGATTACCCAGGCACGCCGGAGAGCAGCCCACACTCGGACAACGAATCCGGTGGGGGGAATTACTCCTCGGTGAAAGAGCAGGAGCGATTCCTCCCCATCGCCAACGTGAGCCGGATCATGAAGAAGGTCCTGCCCGGCAATGCCAAAATCTCCAAGGACGCCAAGGAGACCGTCCAGGAGTGCGTGTCCGAGTTTATCAGCTTCATCACCGGCGAGGCCTCGGACAAATGCAAGCGCGAGAAGCGCAAGACCATCAATGGCGATGATCTCCTCTGGGCGATGGGGACGCTGGGATTCGAGGATTACATCGATCCACTCAAGCTCTATCTTCAGAGGTACCGAGAGACTGAGGGAGAGAAGGCCAACGTGAAGCAGCAAGGTGGCGGTGGTGGCGCTGGTGGTGGTGGTGGTGGTGGTGGTGATTTCCAGCAGTTTCAGAATCAAAATGGTGGTGGTGGGATGATGGGGATGGGATCGCTGATCCAGCAGCAGCAGCAATCACAAGGCTATGCGCCTGGAGGATCGTCGTCCAGGTATGGTGGGAGTAGCCAGCAATCTTACTGGATGCAAGGCGGGAGTAGTGCTGCGGGGCAGCCACGATGAAGAAGAAGAGCGAATCAAAGAGGAAATGAAAGAAAACAAAGGGGAAGGAGAGGGACTTGAGGAAGAAGAGAAAGGAAGGTGAGAAAGGAAGAGTTTTAGCATAAAATTTGCTTGTTCTTCCGGGCATGCAGGGGCTATGCCATCTCTTCTTTGTAATGAAAAGACAGAAGTAAACATTTCTTATGCATAGGAAAATAAGTATTATTTGGATTTTGGTAAGTATATTAAATTAGTTAAATTATACAATAAATTAATAAGATTTTGTAAATAAAAAATTCTAATTAAAATTATCTATGTTAAAACGTTTATTACTTGTTTTAATAATCATTATTCCACATGTAATTATAAAATATAAATATCTAGAATTTCTTTTATACTTTAGGTTATCTTAATAACTATTAAATAAAATCTAATCAATAAATTTTTTTTAATAAAATTACTTTTATAGTGGCAATTATTAATTTTTACTTTTAAGCTAATATATATTATTTACACCATTTGATAGAATAAGTGAGTACTTATTCTTGGCAAATAACAATGATTTGTACGTAAGTAAAATACAAATAAATACTAAAATTTAAATTTATTCTCCATATAATATTCATTTATATATACCTATAAATTTCATTAAGGATGGATTAAGTTTTCTTTTTCAACTGGAAATAATTTATAAAAAAGACTGCAAATTTCTAGAATCCACAATAAAATTAGGTATAGTTTTTTTCTTAGTGAAACTTTATTGTAATAGAACTATACAAATTATCAATGTGATATCTAAATATAGAAATATTTAATAAAAGGTTCCTATTTGCCCTAATCAGAAATGGAAAGTTGTAATGTCCAAAACCAGAATATTATGGCTAAAATTACTTTCATTTAAGTCTGGTTTATAAATAACAATTATAGAAAGTATGTATATTTCCATTTAAAAATATAAAAACTTAATGAGAAAACTAGTAATCCTTAAAATGATTATGGCTTCAACAATAGCTTTAAATTGAAAACCTTATCACTCTTTGGTCCCTTTAGTCTTTAATTTTGAATATATACATTCTTTGCCACTTTTGCTTGTTCAACTTAACACTATACTCAATAAAGGGCTGTGAGAATTGAAAACATTATTTATCCCATTGTGCCAAATTTGAATATCTATACACTAACTTAAATATCACAATCCCAAAGGAAGTAGAGTTATGTTGCTCTTTATCTTTTATTTTGACTTTTATATTGAAAAATAAAAATATTTTTATTAATGAGAAAAAAATGAAGAGGTTATAATTAAAATAGAGTTTAAAAAAGTAGTGGAGAGGAGGGTGAAAAGAGCAAAATTGTTATGAAGAGTTATGAAAACTAAAAGAGCGCTGCTTTAGTGTTTCTTTCTGTTTCTTTTTGTGGACATTGGCACTGGCAAAAGTAGAGGGATATGAGATACGAGATAGTTCTCTAAACATGAAAATTGGTTAGCATAACAAACAAAACATGAATCTTGGTTTAATACTTCAGCATTGTAGTCTCATGCCTCCAACTGGGCAATACAAGACTTCAAAAACATGTATTATATCACATATGCTGTGTGATCGGCAGCAATAATAGAGAGCAATGGAGAATTTCCAAAATTTCTCTCATGATCTTAATCAGTGAAGAAAAATGATATCAATTAGCACGACTATCAACAAGAGTATGGACGTGGTGGTGTTGCTTTCTATTCTCTCAAGACAAATTGATGAAAATAACTGGACATCACAACCTCACATGCATTGCTATTGGAATCCAAGAGAGTTTGGTATGCCATGGGGAGATGGATTTCGCCACCAATTGTGCTGTGAGGATTGGATGGGTATGCCAAGATGCCTTCTTTCTTGCTGCCTAGGGTTGGGGGATTGTGAGAAGCAGGGACGTATTAGCTGTGTTGTTATTGTCCCGAAGTGTATCTAGCGGTAAGGCTAGATACACTTGCAAATTTTCCTTTTCATTTTTGTGGAAGTTGGAATGAAATACATTACTTTGCCTTATCGATTATCATAACATTGTTGCATTCAATATTAATGTTATTTATAACTATGATAGAGATTCTTGGAGTTCTTCCAGTTCGTGCTTCTTCATCTTCTTATTCTTCTTCTTTTGCTGCTGCTGCTGTGAGCTATCCTCCTCTTGCTCCTCCTTTTCTTTAGCCTCTTCATCGTCATCGTCTTGATCATTGCTCCTCCTCTTGCCACTGCTAGCTTTGCTGCTAGAGATGGAGCTGAGTTGCTTTCTCCTGGGCTGCGCCTCGATGAGCATGGACACCACGTCTCGCATCGTTGGCCTGTCGCGAGGGGCCCTGCTTGTGCACAGCATCGCCACTCTGAGCACCAGCAGCATCTCCTCACGGACGCTCTCACAGCAGCCAATGCTCCAGTCGAGAACTTCCACCAGCCGCCCCTTTCGCAGCTTGGAGTGGACCCAGTCGACGATGTTGCTGCCTTCTCCAAACTCTGGCTCGATTGGCCGCTTGCCAGTGAGGAGCTCCAGCAGCACCACGCCGTAGCTGTATATGTCACCTTTCTCTCTCACTTTCATCGTGTACGCGTACTCTGGAATCACAAAAACCCAAAGTTTTCGACTTTTAGATCGAGTGAAACGAACAAAGTTGCAACCAACGACCAAAACATGCACGTAAAACAAAGAAAAGCCTGGAACGTAAGCACAAGGAAGAAAAAAGCCTGTAAGAAACCAACAGGACAAGCGGCCAAACAGCAAGACCTCTCAAGCAAACATATCCTATCGCAAAGAGTGCACATAGATTATTACAAGGCCGAAAAAAAAGGCCTGGTACAAACCAACAGGAAAGCAGAACCAACACTTTCAAGCAATGAATGACCGATATCTATCACGGAAGAAAAGAAAAAATAAAGAGAAAAGATACAAGCGTGAATGAATAAATAGACGAACGAGTAGCAGAGCGATAGAAAAACCAAAAAAGAAAAGAAGAAGGAAACAAGCGAGAGCTACTCAAGCATTTGTTTTCATCTAAGCAGATCTAAAAACTGTCTGGAGGAATGAGCAAACAAACAAGCTAGGAATGAGCAAACAAACAAACCAAGGAACGAGTAGCTCATACCTGGAGCGATGTAACCATACGAGCCAGCAACAACGGACATGGATTCTCGCGCCTCGATCAGCTTTGCAAGACCAAAGTCCGCAACTCTGGCGTCCATGTTGTGATCCAGGAGAATGTTGCTCGACTTGACATCCCTGTGAATTATGACGTGAGGGAAGCAGTCGTGGTGCAAGTAAGCCAGCCCCTGCGCCACTCCCATTGCGATGTTGTACCTCGCAACCCAGTCCGCCAAGAGGCTGGAAGAGTTCTTCTGTCCGTGGAGAAGATCACTCAAGCTTCCATTCGGCATGTACTCGTAGAGCAGCATGTCGGTGTGGTGATTGGAGCAGTATCCCAGCAGCCGGACGATGTTCCTGTGCCTTATCCCCCCCAGAACTTTCACCTCGGACAGGAACCCCTGGTCGGTGTAGTAGCTCTCTTTGTTGTTGCAAAGCTGCTTGAGCGCCACCACCTCGCCGCTCGCCATCTCGGCCTTGTACACCACCCCCATCCCGCCTTTGCCGATGATGTTCTTGTCACGGATGCACTCGAGAAGCTCCTCCACCGTGAAGCCCAGCCGCTGGAAGGCCGTCATCTTCCACGGCCACTCGCAGGAACCGGCCGAGTCTCGGACGCAATGCTTGCTCCGGTATCCACACGGGAAGTTCCATCCGTAGCGCTTGTGGAGATACCTCACTCCGACCAAGAGTATGACGAATGACAGCACGAAGAAGATCGTCATGAGCCACTGTCCCGTTCTTCTCGACGAGGTACCAGCTGAATTGGAGGAGCTCCCTCTTGAGCCGCAGGGTGGAAGAATTCCTCCACACAGCCCGAGGTTCCCGGCAAAGACACTCTGGTTCGCAGACGAGAATAGTCCGGACGTCGGGAGCTGTCCGGACAAACTATTGTATGAGACGTTGAAGTCCTCCAAGCTCCGGGACTGCGAAAACTGTGCTGGGATTCTCCCTTGGAGAGAGTTCCACGACAGGTCCAAGACGGAGAGCACCGGGAGCAAAGCTAGAGCCACCGGGATTTGTCCGCTCAGCGTGTTCTTCCGGAGGTTGAGCGTGACCAACTTAGAGCAGTAGACGATCTCGGGTGGTATCGGCCCCTGGAGCTTGTTCTCGGACAGGTCCAGCACCAGCATTCTCGTTGCATTGGCTACAGACGGGGTGAGCTCCCCGGAGAGCGCGTTCCCGGCTGCATGGAGCTCTTGCAGCTGCGGTATGCTCCACACTCGGGGCGGTATACTGCCTTCCAGCCTGTTGCTGGAGATGTCGATGAAAGCCAGGCGTGGAGCGGCCGAGATATCTTCCGGAATGCTTCCGTTGAGCCAGTTTTTGGAGAGTTCCAGCCGCGTGAGATTCGGCATAGCCCCGAATGCCGCTGGTATCGGGCCCGAGAGATGGTTGTCGTGGAACCGAGCTCGAAAGAGCCACTTACAGTTAGTCATGTCGGGGATGGTACCGGTGAGAGAATTGGAGAAGAGCTCCAGCTTGATCAAAGAGCCACCTTTGCAGATCCCGCGAGGGATCTCCCCCGATATAAGATTGGACGAGACGTCGATCCAGCTCAAGCTCCTCGTGTGGCCGAGTCGAGGAGGAATCGTCCCGGTGATGAGATTATTCCACACGGATAGAGTCTCCAGATTTTCTAGCTCTCCCAGCTGCTCGGGAATGGAACCGTTTAAGTTGTTCATCATGAGATGGAGGAGAGTGAGCCTGCCCAGCCTCGAGAAGCTTTCCGGAATTGGCCCGCTGAGTTGATTGTCCGAGATATCCAGTGACATAAGTCCGCTCATGTTGCCAATCTCTGGAGGTAGAATCCCGGAGAGCCTGTTCTTGTAGAGAAAAACGGTGTGGCACTGGACCAAGTTTCCCATCTCTGCTGGTATACTTCCGGAGAGGCCTGTCAGCGACATATCCAGGTACTCGAGCTGGACGAGCTTCCCAAACTCTCTTGGAATTCCTCCGCTGTAATTGTTGTAGCCAAGTTCCAAGTGGTTCAACTCTACCAAGTTCCCCAACTCTGCCGGTATCTCTCCAGTGAGCAAGTTCCCAGAGAGCTTGAGCGTCTTGAGCTTGGTCAGATTCCCATACTCCGGAGGGATGCTCCCAGAGAAATAGCTTCCAGCCAAGTCGAGCAGCTCCAAGTCGACCAGACGAGCCATCTGCGACGGCAGCGGTCCCGTGAAGTTGTTGTCATGAGCCGAGAAGAACGTCAAGAGATGTAAATTGGCAATCGCATTGGTGAGACGACCGGTGAATTGATTCTCACTGATGTCCAGGGTGTCGAGATTCGTGAGGCTTGTCATCGCCAGCGGAAGATCGCCGCTGAGGGAGTTGTCGCTGAGGTTGAGCACTGAAAGCGAGCTGAGCAGACCAATGTTTTCATTGACTCTACCTGTCAGGTTCATGGAGGCGAGATTCAAGCTGGATATCTGGTGCTCGTCGTCGCAAGTCACACCCGTCCAGCTGCATGGCGTTGTCGTAGAACCTTTCCAGTCCGATAGATATCCCAGCCCATCCACGATGTCCAGTTTCAATGCCAGGAGATTGACAGCATCCTGAGAGGCTTGAGAAGAGGAAAGTTGAGCCTGTTGGAGGAGAAGGAGAGCCAAAACCACCAGCGTAGCTGCTGAAGTCCGGAGCATTCCCTGCTCTGTCTTCCGTTTTTCCGGTGTAATGCTCGTCGAGTTCGTATTCGTCCCCATGCCCTGTCTCGAATTCCGGCCTTCTAGACTTCTACCTCTTCCGTGTATAGAGCTCCTTCTTAGCTTAGCTAAAAGGTACCTCCTCCAGTGCCACCACCACTTGACTTGTTGAGAAGCCTTGTTTCCACTACGAGCCCAGCAGCATCAAAACCTTTGTCCTCGTCTGATATACCCTCGAGTCCTGGTTTTCCCTGTGAGTAGAGTCGTCGTCCTCTTGTAAGTCTGGGAAACTCCAAGTTGTTTGTTTACAGTGTACATTCGCTGGAACCTGGTTAAGCTCTAAGGACTTGTACAACGTAGTATAAGTAGCAGTAGGCAAGCGCTCGCTCCCTTCCTGATTCACTGAAAAGATAAAATGGATCAGAGCCTTGTACGTATTGCTGCTGCCAACTAGACAGTACACGCAGAGACGCACTAGTATGAAAGAATCGTATCAGCAAAGCATTCGACTACGATTTCTACTACTACTTCCTTCTACTACTACTGCTACTACTACTAGTAGCTCTACAAGATGCACAGAATTATGCAGAGTGCGCCCCCATACTGTACCAGAGGAGCTACGCAAAGTGACGACGCAAAAGACCGAAAAAGTAAACTAAAGGAAAGAAACAGCACTCACAGAGAAAGCCGCCTGTACAGCTTTAGCTAAAACGAGAAAAGATGGAACAATCACACGCAAAGCCCCGACAGTAACTACGAGAAAGAATCCCACCACAGCTTACGAAAATGGGTAATGCAAGTACCAACAATCAAGCCAAGTTGAGAAGCGAAAGGAGCAAAGATACTTAGAGCAGCATACACACACCTGGTGAGCCTGATTGATGTCAAAATGGTATGAAGATGAAGCGGCACCTTCTCTGTCCAGCTCGCGAGGTTGTAATTGCCGAAGCCAGGCTTTTTGGATGGATTTTTCCCCCTCTTTGTTTTGATATCATCGCATCGCTCGCAGCATATTTGTATGGTAGTTGGTTTGCTGCCGCTACTGCTCGCGTCTGTGCATTTGCAAGGACTCCTCAGCTCTGCACCAGATGTTGGGTCTGTCCTACGACGCATACATATGGAAGATGCCAAGTCCTATCCTTGCCAGAGATATGTACACATATATAGAAGAGACCCACGAAAGCAAGCAACGAAAGAAGGAAAGAAGAATCAGAGCACCACCAGCACCAAAAGAACAAGACCAGGCTCCACAGCACGCTTAGCAACAACACCAACGAGAAGAGAGGAAAAAAAAAAAAAGGAAAAAGAGAGATTCATACTTAAGAGAATCAGGCAGAGCTCCACCAACACGAAAAAAACAAAGATAAAAGCATGCAAGGGGGCGAAAAAACAATTGGGAGAAAACTTGGAGAACCGAGGAGGTGGGGTGGGAAAACAAGGAATCCCGTAGCAAATCTATGGCCTTTCTATTTCGCTCCACACTGGAGGCCTGGCGCTGGGGAAAGAAGAGGTGGACTTGACTCGATTTGAATGCGAATCAGATATGTACCACCAAATGGAGCCGTATGAATCGCACACAGCCATTGGCCAACAAGATGCCAAGAAGAGACGAACGAGGCGCTTACCAGTGCGAGTACTAGATTAATGCGAGCGCCAGAGAGAGCCAGGGCGCCGCTGCTGCGCTCGCTGTTCGCCGATCTTACGTCTTGTCCCCACACGCGATTAGGGTTCTTGAGCAACAAAAACCCCAGCAATTTAAACGGCTGCTTTTCCCGCCAGTTTTTCAAACCTAGCCTCTGAGACAAACTTAATTATTCTAGCTATTACCAATGATAATTTAGTAAGTAAAAAGAAATTATCCAGACAGAGAAAAGAGAAAGTACGCTAGGCTAGGACTTTCCTCTTTATACGCCGTGGATACGTTTGCTATACTGTCACTGGGCTCCATTCCAAAAGCTGAAGCGCGTCAAATATGTTAAGAAGCGATTGAAATCTAATGCAGCTTTTTTAATTATTAACATCAATATCAAAACTGTTTATATATTCTTATTAATAATAGATTAAACTAGAAACCATATCAAATACGTGTTTGCGCACGCCTGGCAATCAAAACTGATGATAGAACCTCATAGACGCATCCAAATCTTTCTTTGATCAGCAACCATAGGTATGAGTACTTCCATTCTTTCCTCTAGTTGCATGGAATTCTTCCATTCTTCTTGAGCGTGCTGTGTCTTTATAGCGTGTGGGTTCCAGTCCGATCCTTCTTTTTGCGTAGATTACCAATATCTCGCCAACTTTTGATTTGCTTGCATGGTGACCTCAAACACCACTGCCTAAAAGCAAAGAGGGTCGCTCGCTAGTGCTTTGATACTTAAATCCGACCTTCTTTTTTTTCCCAGCTTTAAGGGCTTTGTCCGTGAGATGCTCCATTCCCTCCTGCTAGAGAAAGAATCACTTCGTCAAGAAACGAAAAGATTCCCCCGGCTCCATGCTCGAGAAATTTCGGGTACCACTATCCAGCTTTTTATCATTGCTTTCAACGTTTGATTACTCCACCAAGTACCTACGTAAGGATGAGAGGAAGAATATTAAAACAATGGCGCTTGTATTCAACTCCACTCAAGATCTTGGTGCTCGATTCAAACAAAGCAAGCAAGCAAAAGTTTATTCACGGAGACATGGATCATTGTCAAGGGAGCCATTAAAAAACTCAAGTGGAAACACACCTGGTGACCCGAAAGGAGATTTCTTATGGCTTGACTGGTCCAAGAACTTGGAGAATCGATGAGACCTTTGCGATTTCATATTCGTCATCGAGAACTTGTTGATGGGACTGAGAAAAATAAAAAGGAAGAGAAAAGAATTCCTCACGGATGATAAGTACCTCACTCTCTTTGTCAAAAGCTTTGATTCTTTCTTCTCTTGACTTGACCGCAATCTTTCTCTGGATCAAACTTTGCAATCCAGCCAAGGTAGTGTTGTGGATTCCTAGTAAAAAAAAACGATCATCTCGTCACAGACCAAAGGATAAATGGATGTGAAACAAACCAGCTTTCCAGCCGCAGTCGCCACTTTTTATCGTTATGACATTTGGCTTCCCTGACTCGAAACATAAGCTGGACAAAGCGTCAAATGTTATTCCAAGAGCGAACAAAGAAATATCATCTGCTAGAAAAGGAATGGTCACCTTGACTCCCACGTAGAAAGAGAGAAATAATTCCGGGACAAAGCGCGGTCTCGCTTGAGATGACCAAAAAGGAAAAAAAAAACAGTAAACCAGCAAGCAAAACTAAAAAACAGAGAGATAGAATAAGAGCACGTTTTGTTTCAGAAAGAGAGTCGCTTTGGATCCCGCTGAGCCAACAACGAGAACCGATAAGGCCATCAGTGAAAGTGATTCACACTTCTTTTGCAGACTTTGTATCTGCAAAGTGTGTCAAACTATGAGCAAGAACCTGTTTGAAGCCAACAAGCTTGCTTCATCAAAGCCTTCTGGCAACCAGAGTAGACACGACCTGTCCTGTCGTGTTTACAAGTTAGCAAGCTTGGGTAGGAACGCAAGAGTCTGGCTCTCACTTACCATTCCAAGTCGTGACGCAATGCGAAAGATCATCCACACGTTAACATGTTTCTATTGAGAGCAGCCGAAAGATCTACAACCAACAGCCACTCGTGATAGCTTTACATCGAAAGTGATAAAAGTTCATGCCTGACGAGCTGAAACTGGCAGCAGTTGTTCACGCAACACACACCAATGCCGTCACTTAACGCATCAGAAGCTAGAAAGTAGGCTACACATACCAGGGCCCAGAATCGATGCATCAAATTCAACACCTGTGAAAAAAGAAATTTTTGTCAAGGACTTAAAGAACTAAATCGAAAGCAAACTCACAAGTCCATTGATTGACAGGCTGTGAAGAACTTGCTGCTGCATTTGCTTGCATGAAAGTTAGAAGTAACTGAACAGCTTGCGTTGGTTGATAATCTGACTGAAATACGAACGAAAAAAATGTAAAAGGCATACATTCCAGATGGTTCCCGTCGAGAATACAGAGGGGTGAAACATTTTTCGTCTTGGCTCGAAAGTTTATCCCGAACCAAGCGTTGTCTAGATAAAGGATAAAGCGAAATAGTCACCGTTTTTTATCTTTATAAGCTTCGGCCTCCCTCACTCGAAACATAAGCTGCACAATGCATGAAGAATAAGAGCAAAGGAAGAAAAAACGTTCCAATCCTCACCTTGGCACCCACGTAGAAAGAGAAGAAAATCCCGAGACAAAGCCAAGCGTCTGCAAAACAGTCTCGTTAAAACCATTCCAAAAACAGGAAAATAGAGAGAGCATACTCTGCTTCACAAAGAGCTTACTAATCAGCTCTTTAAATCCCGCCGGGCCAACGACGAATCCGATGAGGTTTGCCATCTGCCAGTCTCAGCACTAGTAAGAACTATGAATCTAAAGTGATTCATACCATCAAGCCGGTTATGTTGAGGGCACTGGCAATGGCACAGCCTTCAGTGAATAACGCTGGCGAATTCTTTTGCAGTTTTTGCATCTAAAAAACTCGTGTCACGCTAAAACGGAAATAAAAACAAGATACCTGTTTCAAGCGAAGAGAAAGCTTCATCAAGCCTTCTGGCAACCAGAGTAAACACGTCATCCAGGCCCAAGAGAGAAGTTTCCTGTAGCATCGACAAGTTAGCAAGCGTTAATGAGGATAAAGTTCGGTTGTTACTTACCATTCTAAGTCGTGCCACAATGCAACAAACGTGAAGATAATCCATACGTTGAGAAGTTTCCATCTAGAGCCGCCAAGAGGAATGTAAATATATCTTCAACAAAAAAAAAAGAAGTTTAAGAGGATGTATTGAAAGGGAAAGCACGACAAATTTCACACCTTACGAGCCAGCGATTGTAAGATGCATGCCAGCTCTTCCAAAACCCCTCTAGGTCATAGCAGTTGTTCACACAGCGTAGCATGTTTTCGGGTGACTCTACACCGCACATCTATCAAAGAGCTTAAAAACACATCACAAGCGAGAAAGTACGGCATACCAGGGCCCAGAATCGGAAGAACCTCCAGATCAAAAGAAACTTTAGCCACATGAAGTTGAGCACCTGCAAAAAGAACGAAAGTTACTCAACAAGGTACAAAAACTGCTCGCACTTACTCCATAGCCAACGATAAAGATTTGCACGGGTGACAGCTTTGGCCAAACCCTGCTCGTAGCAAATGCGTTATAGTAAAAATAGTGTGTCATAAGTTCCATAAGTAGCAGGCAAGCAAGCCACCTGATACCGTAGGCACCAGCCTGCTTGTAGCCTATCCGCGGATTCTCAATCTGCATTAGAGATCTTTAAACATCAAAACTCAAAGGGCGAAAAGAACTTGCCTGTGAAGAAAACGAGTTGAAGCTAACAACCGGGCCAGCGATGTAGAGCGGTGCATAGAACAAATAGCTGAAGTACGCTGTCAAGCCATAGGCATTTTCCGGTAAGACTTTCTCCTAAAGTTACAGTAAGTAGTGCTGGCTCAAAAGCTGCATCAAAAATATTACCTGACGCGAGAGGTTGCACGGGTTACCAGTTTGGCACTCACTGCAAGTAGCGTTGTGCTTCTAAAAAGTTTTACAACATGAGAAGAGGAAACCCAAACAAGGAGCAAACAAACCTCCCAATTAATAGCCGACGGTCGACAACAACGAGTCCAATGGTAATCTAGGCCAAAGCTCACCATTCGTAGCATAACTAAAATGGAGAATTTAGAGAAAAAAAAAAAAAAAGGGGAAAAATGAAACTCTTGTCATACCAAAATTGAAACTGATATGCCACCGCATTGCACCCCGATGTTTGTCAAGCCTTGCAAAAGCCTCTCTATACAAGAAATGATAAATTCAAGTAAAGGAAAAACGAGCACTAGCATACCCAAGAGACGTAAAGGAGTAGCCCTCGTAGACTCTATTTAGTATGAGAAATGCCAAGTTGTAGCTCCAAAGAAGAATCGGAAAGAAGGACCTTCCACCTGCAATCTAGCACAAACGAGATCACAACCTTTGAGAAAAAAAGATCGAACAAAAAGAGCAATAAACGACCTTTGTGAGAGCGAAGTTTCCAGCCGCTATAGCAACTATAAATACAATACTGGCATTCGAAAGCTCATAAGAAAAGAGAGACAAAGAGAAGGAACCAAAAAACTCACCAGCATTCGTGCATGTATGCCAGAAAGATGGTCGAAACTACAAGCCAATAGCGCGACATTCCTTTGCCTCCAAACCTCAAACCATGCGTAAGGATCAAGCTTAAAACCGTGAAACCTCCCAGGACGATCGTCAGGGCTGGGAGATTTGCTCGAAAATTCCGCCATTGCGCATCAGAGAGATCCTATAGCAACAAAATTTCAGCAAGAACACCGCAAAAAGGGGAAAGATTCTGGATTACCACATTGCGCTCCAAAATCCAGCCCCTTCTCAATCCCCGCAGCCCCCAAGCCTCCTTCCCTGCCCTCGCATTTCCCGAAATCTGTGAGCTTGGATCGATCGCGTTCATCGCATACCTGAGGAGAGATCGATCGAGCGCCAGACGAACAGCGCATAGAAGACGAGCGCGTAGGCGTAGAGAAACCCCATCCCTAGGGTTTTGAGTGAAAATGGCGCTTCTTTAACTTTACATATAGCAAAGATTGTATATGACCATATATGACCATTGACCAAAGCTATTGACCACCATTGTCGGAGCGGATCTTCTGTTTAAGCGTGGTGGCGCCTAGGCCGTTGGATGCTCCTGGATAGCCGGCAGTTAGACACAGTTGTCCGCGATATTTTCGCGGGATATTCGCGGTACGGGCTTTATCTGGTTGTCAATTGCGTGCAAAGACATCTAACTGCCACCGTTAACAGGGAGCCATCGGACGGCTGTCTCGCAGCCGCGTCTGGTCGCCTGTCGGGTTGGTAATTTAACTGTTTTCCTATCCAGGTGTCCCGCCTAACACCACTCGCAAGAAAGAAGTCGTGGGTTCGATCCTCGCCCGCTACAAATTTGTGTGTGTGGAGCTTTCTAGTCATGTCAACTTCCAAGATCAGCATCGAATCGCCTTTGTTTTGCACTCTTCTAGGGCGTTCCCCCTTCCCTTTACTTTCATTGTGATTTGGACCGGGGCGAGCATTCAATCCTTGGTCCCTTGATCTTGGCTGGGACAAGCTGGATCGTTGATATTTCTCGCGCCGTGATTGACGACCATATTCACATCGCCGTAATTATAGGAGGAGATTGGAAGGATCATCTCATCTCATCCCAGAAGATAGAGCGCCACGAAAGAAATCGCGAAGCTAAAGAGCGTTGGGATATCGATATGATAGTTGGACGTCATCAAGATGCCTGTGAGATTTGGACAAAGAACTTCTCCCCCTCTTGGTTTCTCATCACGAAAGTGACACGCCCTTGTATAAAAGATAAAAAAGAAGACATTTTAAAGGCACCGAAACTTCCCATCATCCTTCCCGCCCGGCCCCCACTTTTTTCGGTTTTCTGTTTTGTCAACTGGCTCCCCAACCGACACTCGCTTAAATGCGGGGGTTTAAACTAACAGGAAGAACCCTAGCCTTGTAAAAAAGAAAGGTGGCGAGCTTTGGACGTGTGAGCTGACCAATTTAACAATGGCTCGAATGTCCCCTTTGCCCCTCACATTAGAATGGGGCCTCCACCACCAAGTTTCATTTCATGCCTCTTGTGTGTTTGGGCTAAGAAATAATCAGTCAATGTCTAGATTTTTTAAGCCAAGCGATTCGATTCTTAAATCACGCGGACGCGGACGTGCGAGCTTTTTCCAAAACAAACAAGCAAGGTTTACCCTGTTAACAAAGTAGAAGGTTAAACTAACTTGCCGGTAGAAAAATATA